TAGGTAGGGGGATCCCTAAGCTGTCCTCAACTCTTCTCTTCATAAATCCCTGAATTTTCACCAGGGAATTGGAATGACATGAGATTCTGAAACCGAAGACTAGAGCCAACACCTACTTGCTGGATGGCCTTAGTCATATTACTTAACTTCCTTTAGTCTTTTTACTCATTTATAAAATTACGATAACAATATTCCCTCCAATGATGTAAAGATCAAATCAGATAATGGATGTGAAAAAAAATTGAAAATTATAAAACACTGTAAAAGTATTAGTCACTATTATCTAATAGATAAGTCTGGTTTATTCTATCTTAGGTTTGTCTTTCTTCAACCTTACTTCTGTTTCTCCTCCTACCCTGATTTGTTCAGGATTTTCTCCATAACAGTAGACTTCTTTCTGGAGTCTCAAATGTTCCTAAAGGACTATTTCCAAAGAGTATACTTAAAAACTGTCTAAGACACTGGAGTATGTATAGAATAAGCAACAAACTCCTCAGCTGAGCACAAGGCTCCTCTTGAATTTGATTTGACCTGCCTTTTTAACTTTAGCTCATGTCCTCCCTACACTTCAGTCTCACTGAATTTCTTCCCATTGTTCAAATATCCTACTCTTACATAGTTCTTCATTTTCCCCTTCTCAGAATTCCTTTTCCCTTTCTGAACCCTTCCTTCCACTGCTTTTTTTTTTTTTTTTTTTTTTTTTTTTTGAGCCAGGGATTGAACCCAGAGGTACTTAATCACTGAGCCACATCCCTGTCCTTTTTATTTCTTTTTATTTTGAGACAGGTTCTTGATAAGTTGCATAGGACCTTGCTAAGTTTCTAAGGCTGGCTTTGAACTTGCACTCCTCCTGCTTCAGCTTCTCAAGTAGCTGGGACTTATAGGTGTTTGCCACTATTACCAGCTTTCAATTTCCTTTCGCACCCTGTTTTCACTTTTCTGTCTGGCTCATCTATTTGCCTTTCAGGCCTGACTCAAGTGTTGTCTACTTCCCAAAGCCTTCTTTTATACCTTTGTCATCAGTTCTCTCAGTAGCACTTTGTACACCCTTCTATTATGACACTTATCACACTGTTTTGTAAACATTAGTTCAAGAGCCTGTTAGATTATGAGCATCTGGAAAACGATACCTGTTTATTGTTGGATCTTCCTTACTACTTGAAACAAATGGACCTTTCCAGCTGAAGTAAAGGTTTCATTTGAAAGATTAGAGCCAGAGGTAGGAAAAATGGATTGAAGAGAGAGATTAAGGTTTGGAGATGCTATAGACCCTTACTTCAGAAGTTTTAGTTTTATCCTTTTTTAAAAAATTATTTTAAAAATATTTTTAGTTGTAGATGAACACAATTCTTTTTAATTTTTTTTAGTTGTAGATGTACACACAATATCTTTATTTATTTTTATGTGGTACTAAGGATGAAACCCAGTGCCACATACATGTGAGGCAATTGCTTTACCACAGAGCTAAAGTCCCAGCCTGACACAATAACTTTTATTTATTTTTATGTGGTGCTGAGGATTGAACCCAGGGTCTCACACATGCTAGGCGTGCGCTCCACCACTTTAAAGAGTTAAAAAAAAAAAAAGGCATTGAACTTAGGTAAGAAAGGAATTAACAGTGAAAGGCATAATCTAATGGACCCCAGAAGCCCCTAGAATATGCAAATCTGGTAACTAAGCTTGTGTAAGCAAAAACAAAAATAAAAGTTGGGGACTAAGATACCACACAAAGATGACCACATAGCTATTTGCTGTCCTATCAGATTTCCTCTTTTTGCTAAATGTTATTTTAGCATCCATTGTAAATGACAGAAGAATTAATTCCCCTCTGAATTCTCAATTTTTGTAGTAGTCCACCATTTTGTTATAATGCCTCTATCCTAGAAGAGTCAGCTACAGGAATCAGGAAAGTATGTGTTTGGGGTAGTGGAGCAAGAATAGAGATGTGAGTTGTTGGTTTGTCCAACTGGTTAAAGAGACTGAGCTTGAAAGGAGAGGGTTTCAGTGATCTACAAAGGCAGGGAATCCACTTTTTGGTTGTACAGAGCAGAAATTCAATACAGATTGATATAGAAAAAGAGAATTAGCTTGGTGCAGTGGAATATGCCTGTAATCCCAGTGATTGGGAGGCTGAAGCAGGAGGATCACAAGTTAAAACCCAGCCTCAGCAACTTAGCAAGGCCCTAAGCAATTTAGTGGAACCTGTCTCAAAATAAAAAAAAAAAATAAAAAGACTGGGGGATGTGGCTCAGTGGTTAAGCACCCCTGGTTTCAATCCCTGGTACCAAAAACTAAAATAAGGAAAAAAGAGAATTTACTAGCTTTAATAGCATCTATATGTTTATGATTTCCAAATTGATATTGCCAGTCTGAATCTCCAGACTTATATATCCAATTGCCTAGTAGATACCTCTAGTTGGCCATTCAATAGGCAAATCAAACTCAACACAACCAAACACTGATTTCTAATCTTCTCTTTCCAACTTCCCCTTACCAAACCTACTCCCTTATAACCTTCCCCTAACCTTCAAGTATTACTTGATACTTTCATATCAAGTAATGAAAAATCTACCCTCCCAGTTGCTCAGGTCAACTACTTTGGAGTTATCTTCCATTCACTGACCATAAATTGTCAAGAAATTTTATTGACTCTACTTTCAAATCCATCAAGAGTCTGACATTTCTCTCCATCTGTACAGATACCACCTTGGTCCAAACCACCATCATATCACCTCAATTTATTTTAATAGCCTACTATGGGTCTCCCAGCCCATTCCTTTATTTACTTTGTTTTCAATGTAAGAACCAGATGGAATCTATTATATAAATTAGAGCATGTCACTCTCCTCAAAATTCTCCAAAGGCTACTTATCCTACTTAGAGAAAAACCAAAGTCCTTACAATAGCTTATAATGCCCTACACAATATGTCTTCTAGTTACCTTTCTGACTTCATCTTTCACTACTCTTTCCCTTGCTCATTGCATTACAGCCTCTTTGCTGTTCTTCTAACACATAAGACATAATATGCATTGGGAGTTCCCTCTGTCTGAATAATTGTCCCTCAAATATCCATATGGCCTTTAAATGCAATTTATTAGCAAGGCCTTTCTTTTTTAAAAAAATATTTATTTTTTAGTTGTAGTTTTCAATACCTTTATTTTATTTATTTTTATGTGGTGCTGAGACTTGAACCCAGGGCCTTGCATGTGCTAGGAGAGTGCTCTACTGCTGAGCCACAACCCCAGCCCCAGCAAGGCCTTTCTTAATCATCTTACTTACAATCTTAACCTCTCCCCCACCTCTATCCCCTTTCAGTTTTATAACTACTGATCACCAACACTTTTACATTTTACTTATTTAGTTTATTACCTGCCTCTTCTTCTACAATGAATACCAGGAGGGGAAAATATGTCCTTTTTTTTCCCCCCCTTTGGTACTGGGAATTGAACTCAGGGGCACTTGACCACTGAGCTACATCCTTCTAGCCCTATTTTATATTTTATTTAGAGACAGGGTCTCACTGTATTGAGTTGCTTAGCATCTCCTGTTGCTGAGGCTGGTTTTGAACTCATGATTCTCCTACCTCATCCTCCTGAACTGCTGGGATTATAGGCGTGCACCACCGCACCTGGCTGTATGTCCTTTTGGTTAACAAATGTATCATCAATGCCCAGAACAGTATCTGACATATACATTTCAATAAATACTGATTTAATAAAATAATAAAACCCCTGATGATAACTTAGGCATGATTCGATCCAGGTATTCAGTATGTCATTAGAATTGTGTCTGTATCTCTTAGCTTTTTTTTTTTCTCTGCACTGGCTTCATTCTCATGCAGGTTTTTGGTGCAGAGGGTGATGCCAAGATAGCCACCAGCAGCTGCAGTTTTGCACTCTAACAATTCAGCAGCCAAAATGGAAAAAGAATGCCTATTTCCTGATTGTTCCTAAGAAAGTTTTTTTGTAAATGAGTCTTATAGTCAGAGTTTGGGTCAAGTGACAATCCTTGATACAGTCTCTGAGGGTAGAGGAAGAAAATGTTGTAACTGGTCATGGAATCATAGGGCCTCCTGGAATGATAAAACTGGCTCCAGTTGGACTGGAAATGCTAGAGTGGTAGTTCCTTAAAATAAAATGGGGTGCTATCCCTGGAAGAAGAGGAATGAAGGCAGGCTGGCAGAAATGACAGATGTCTACCACATCATCAGTGATGACCCGCCAGTAGATGAACCCAAAACAACACTGTTCTCCTGCTCCTGGGTTTCACACCAGCCAGATGAACCTTGACAAGGTCCTTTCCTCCTAAAAGCCTTTCACCCAATAAGGTCTTTTTCAACGCTCAATGACTTTTTTTTTTTTTTCTTTTGGTACTGGGGATTGAATTCCAGGGGCACTCAACCACTGAGCCACATTCCCGGCTCTATTTCGTATTTTATTTAGAGACAGGGTCTCACTAAGTTGCGCCAATGCTGAGGCTGTCCCACCTCCCTAGCCGCTGGGATTACAGGCGTGGACCACCGCACCCGGCTCTTAGTGATTTTTAACAGACTTGGTCTCTCCGTTTTCTGAGTGTCTTAATGTATCTAATTCTTTGGTAGGTAGTTTTGAACACTGTGCTTTATACTTATTTGAATACAATAGTGCCTCATGCCCTCCCGCGACCCTAACGACCTGATACCCACCTGAGCCGCCAGGGCGCGCTCCGCTTCAGGCGCAAGGGCATAGGGGGCGGGAGTCTCTGTGATTGGCAGGTGCGGTCGTCAATCGATCGTAGGAGGGCGGGGCGGGCCGCCCGGGAGGCCGGCGGGCGGGAGGCGGGGCCTGCATGAATRCGGCGCGCGGCACGCGGGCTGCAGTCGGCGCTAGTTCTCGAGCGAAGCTCGAGTTCTGGCGGAGAGTGGGTGGGAGGAAGCGAAGTGGGGGGAGGGGAAAGAGCGCGGGGGGCGGGGAGGGGCAGCGCCCGGGCGGCGCGCCGAGAACTGAGAGGCAGCGGGTGGGAGCCAGAGTCGGCCGTCGCGGTCCCGGACGCTTCTGTGTCACTGTCTGCTGTGCTCTGCCCCCATCCTCGCCGCGCGCTGCCCTCACGGGACTCGGAGGAGCCCCAGCCGCTCCCGACGGGACCGGAGAGTCGGGACTGGGAAGCCGGCGCTAAGGGAGGGATCGGGTCCGGGCGGCCGAGCCCAAGGCCCCCGGGCGTGGAAGGGGGGGCTAAGGCCCCCGAGGGGGCCCCGCCGCGATGGGCAACCTAGAGAGCGCGGAGGGGGGCCCGGGCGAGCCGCCGTCGGTGTCGTTGCTGCTGCCGCCAGGCAAGATGCCGATGCCTGAACCCTGTGAGCTGGAGGAGAGGTTCGCCCTGGTGCTGGTGAGAGCTGAACCCAGCCCCCTTTCCCCTCCTACCACCCCCCGGGTCCCGACGCCCCGGGTGGGATTTTGTGCTGGTCCTGGTCCCGCCCACTCCTTAGCCAGGGCGGACGACAGACCCCGGCCTCCAGTGTCCGCCCGGGAGCCTCTGTGCAACCAGTGGCTGAGCGGGGACAGCGGGTCGGGGATCTCCAGGGGTCGCTTCAACCAGTGGGCATTCTGGAGGAGGAGAGGGACCCCAGTTCGGTACCGCCCCAGGATCCGGACTTTTCCCTCCTTCCTTCCTCGGTGCTCACTTCTCCCCACTTTTCGTCGTTCTTACGGGTCTGAGAATTCCCTTTTCGGAGGCTTTTGATGGGGCTGGCTCACTCCTCAGCTACTTCGGACTTAAGTTAGTAGGGAAACTGCCTTTCAAGTTAACATGGAGGCTTCTCAGGGAGTGGGTCCCTCTCCCAGCCCAGACCAGATGTTTTGGGGGAGAGGAGGAAAGAAGAGGGGGCTGGCTGCTCTTGAAGCCAGTAGAATAAAGAGTAATGCCATTCTACTTATTTTCAGGACAGCCTGCAGGCATCTTAAATTATAGTGGATATGCCTAAAAGGCTGAACATGTGGATAAGCCATTTTAAACTAGAGTGTTTTTCCAATTGAAACAATACGTAAACCATCCCATTCTGCCTCCTCCCCCCCTCCTTTTCATGTTAAACCCTAGTGACTGGTTTGTGTTCTTTTGCTTGTGCTTCTTTGTAGTTGTTCTGTGGGTTCCAAAATGGTCGGTATGGATAGATTTTTAGAGCTGACTTTTTGAGATTCTACTATGGCATGGGAATTGGACCTTGATGTCAATCAATGATCCTGAATAGAGGTTCTGAGCTGATATCCCTAGCATGAAGCAGGAGAATATGTTGGAGCTAAACATTAAGTTTTGGAGAAAGAAAATGAACATTTGCTAACAGATGAAACTTGCAGAAATACTTAGTTTACCCAAAGAACTCTCTAAGAGGTAGCAATAATTCTGGCGTTATTATTGGTATGGCTGAAGGGGCTAACTTTGCCAGTGTTGAGGGATAAGCATGGAGTTAGCAGCCTTATTGGGTTTCATCTGCTTTAGAAGAGGGAGATTAGATCTTTTGGCAGCATTGGGACTGTCTAGAGATCCTGGTCTCTGGTGGAGAGCCTGCCATCAGCCCATTGGCACCAGAGCTGGCTCAGAGAGGGTCCATGATGTTCCAAGGGGGAGCCAAGTCCCTGGCACCTCTGCTTGCCAGTACTGTGAAGGGCCCGAGGGATCTGGGCCACACATCCTGTGGCCCTCCTCATTTCCCCCAGCTTCCTCAGAGGAATGGGGGGGGGGGTGAGTCAGTGATTACTAATGTGCTGTGACCATCTCAGGCTGAAGAGGAGAGACCGGGACATAGTGCCCTTGAGAACAAGAGCTCAACTGTTGGGAAAAAAGAGTGGGAGGGAAGCTGCGCTTGAGCAGGGGTGTGAAAACCCCCAGGGAGCTGGCACCAGTTAGCTATAGAAATTAGAAAGAGATGGTCTGAAGTGTATTGAGTGAGGGGCTGTCCAAGGTAGGGGCTGCCATGCTTTTGGGGGAATACAGAACCAGTCTATCATGCCCTTATTGGGGTTTTGTTGGCTAGTTTGTTTAATCAGCAAATTGATGGCTTAATATTCACAAAATGTACATGATGTCCTGATTAATAACCAGAGCACCCAAAGAGCCCAGGTCAAGTGGGGGACTAGACCACCCATTAATAACCAGAGCACCCAAAGAGCCCAGGTCAAGTGGGGACTAGACCACTCACTTTCAGTCCTTCCTTTCTGTATAAAGATTTGTTTCCTTGTGGCTTTTGTTTTGGTCCTGTTTCTGTGTGTCTGAGCTGCTGCTGATGGAGGGTTTGAACAGGGCAGGCCAGGGCTGGTTAGCTGTCTCAGAAGAGGAGGGAATTTAACCTCAGTTTTCTAACACAGAAATATCACTTGAAGATTTGAGTTTTTCTCTGGGGACTCTTCAAGCTGTCTCCTTCTACCATCCTTTGGGAACAGTACTGACTGTGAGTTAGATATTTGACTTAGGTATAGGCTCATGTATTTCCTGACCAGTTAGGAGAAGAAGCATAGTAGTAGAAAAAGCAAGGACTCTTAACCTCTTGAACCTAGATTTCATCATCTATAAAATGGGGCTAATAATTCCTGATCTGGAGGGATTGTGAGACCCAGATATATGTAAGGTGCTTGGCACCAGTAGGTACTTGGTATAGATGAGTTTCTTTGCATGGTAATATGAAACAGACAAGTTGCTCCTTAGTTTTTTTCTTTCTTAGTTTGTCAGCTTCACTGTAATTGGGTTTGTGAAAAAGCTATTTTGGAAAGGAGGGTTATAGATGTGTAACACATTGGTGTCTCAGTTAAGCATGTGGACTTTCAAGTCAAAATGAGTTTAAATACTGAGAAGGAGACACTTTCACTCATAGAAAAGTATTTGCCTTAAGTAAGTTACTACTTAATCCCTTTATGTTCTGTTTTCCTCTTATAAATGAGAAAAATAATATCATTTGCCACAGGGGTTGTTGTGTGGATTTAGTGAAATTAGAAGTCAAATACTTAGCAGAATCTGTCATGTATTATATGCTCAGTAAATGATAACTTTTAAGTGTACCTCTCAGCAGTGACTAAGATCTAAGATCACTTGAATTCCCCAAATGTGTTTTATTTATTGATTGATTGATTGATACTGGGAATTGAACCCAGGAATGCTTTAACTGAGCTAGCCCTTTTTATTTTTTATTTTGAGAAAGGATCTCACTAAGTTGCTTAGAGACTCAATAAATCACTGAGGCTAGACTCAAATTTGTAATCCTCCTGCCTCAGCCTCCTAAATTACTAGGGTTATAGGAATGCTCCACCATGCCCCACCCAAAAGTGGTTTTAAGTTCAGAAATCTGATGAATCTAGTTACCCCATTCTGTATACCGAGTCTCAGGATATGCCTTCTGCTGTCAGATGGAGGCCCCTATGGAAACCCCCCTGAAAAACACCCTGATTAGGGAAGTTGTATCAGTGCTGAGTCAATACCAGAGGCTCCCTCTTTTTATGTACAAATTACATGATTTGACCTATAGCCTGCTAGCCAGGTTGACTGCATTTGAGGATTCCCCCACCCCCACCCCAGCAACAATTTGCATTCTGTTGAGTATTGAGAAATTTGGGGTTTAGACAATAATTGGAGTTCCTCTTTATTAATATCAGAATAAGAGCCAGTCTCTAATCTGATAAGGCATTTTGGTCCCAAGCTGAGTTGCTCTGAAGCTAAAATTTTGGCTAGAGCTGGACTTTTCCTTAGGGGAGGTAGAAGGCTCTGAGAAGATAGCTTTCTGCCTTTGGTTGTTTGTATCCTGATTATTCTCTTTGTTAACTTATTATAGGCTCAAAAGAGATCTAAAAGTTCTGATGCTGAGGAAGCCCTGACTATCCTTCAGATGGAGGCTTCCTGCATGAGGGTGGGGTTGTTTGGCAGAGTTGTCCCTGCTCTTTCTCTCACATTTCCTGGGTGAGGACTGATAACTTGGTTTGACCATAAGTGTACTAGCTAAGCTGTTGTGGGTACTAGTTGTCTCAGAGGCTTTGAGGGGCCTCCTTTGATACAGAAAGGGGCTGGGAAAAATTTGGTTTAAATATCAGGTTCCAAATTGCCATGGTTGAATTTTTTCTCCCCAGCCCTGGGGATTGTGGTGAATTAGTTCAGGCTGGAATAGAAAGAACTTGGAGAAGGGAAAGGCCCTTGACAACAGCTGGTTAGAGGAACCTCTTCCTTGTTCAGAGAACCCACTGAGAAGACCAGAGGCCACAGAGAGGAACCTCATTCCCTTGCTTGATTTTTCTATATGGCCCAACCTTAGTCTGAGGAAGGCGTTGTGTGTTAGGGATGGGTAGAGTAGATTGTCATTTGGGTCTGTTTTCACTGCCCACAGGGAGAGTCAGCTTTTGTTTTTCCTCTTTAATTCATTATCTAAAGTATGGGACAATTCTTAAAGAAGATGAGATTGAAGGAAAATATCTTTTCTTAGTACCCTTACCAAATGCAGCCAATGTAGTTTAAATTCTGTCTCCTTCCTTCCTTCCTTGCATAGAGTGTTATACAGTGTTATGATACATGACAATATGTATTTATCCACTTTTTAAAATTTTGCTTTTGTTATATCATTAGTTTTCCTAGACTAGTAATTGTAAACATTTCCAAATGCTTGTACAGTGGTCCATGAAGTGAATGTACCATTGTTTACCTAACCATACTCCTATTGTTGGACATTAGGTTATTTGCTTCTGTTTGTCATCATACACAATGCTGTGATGAACATCTTGCATACAACATCTTTTCAATATTTAGAGTTTTGCTTAGACTAGAAACCTAAACTTACTGGATTGTGGATACAAATTTTTTTTAAGGTAGTAAATACATATTTTTAAGTGTTTTTTTAAAAAAGAGATTAATGTGCTGGGCATTGTGGTACATGTCTATAATCCTAGTAACTGGGTAGGCTGAGGCAGAAGGATCACAAGTTTGAGGCTTCCTGGATTTAGGATTGGAGATGTAGCTCAGCAGTAGAGCACTTGCCTAGCATGCTTTATCCCGGGGTTCAATCCTCAGTACCAAGAAAAAGAAAGAAGAAAGAGTTGTGTGTGAAGGTCCTTAAAAGGAAAGAAAATGATTAAGAATAGTTTCTTGGACAGGGGATGCTCAATGGTAGAGTGCTTGCCTAGCATGCTGCAAGGTTTCAGGTTCAAACCCCAGCACTGCCAAAAAAAAAAAAAAAAAATTTCTCTTGATTATGATTTTTTTTCTCCTAATAGCATGTTTATTAAGCAAATTTGGAAGATACTAAAAAGTATAAAGAAATTAAATTAAAGTCACCTATAAGTTCACCATCTCGGGCTGGGGATGTGGCTCAACTGGTAGCGCACTCGCCTGGAGTGCGTGCGGCCCGGGTTCGATCCTCA